ATATATATATATATATATATATATATATATAAAAATTAGTTATAAGATAACCACAGGCAAATCGCAACAATAAGTATCAATTGATAACCTGATAAAAGTAGCAATGATCCTTCTATAATTGATCAAACTACACAAATCGTGCACATAAATAGTATCGTAAAGTAATATTCCTTTTAGTATAACACTTTTCTTCTTCTTCTTTTTTCGCTTTAAAAAAGTTGATATATTTTTATACTTTAAATTTCTATAATTTGCTATTAATTAGAGGAATTGATATTTTTATTTTGAAGATCACAACATTATATTAATATCTTATTATAATAAATTTAGCTTGTGTATGGAAAAAAAAAATTAAAAACATTTGTATCGGTCAAACACATATCGATATTATTGATATTTAAATTGTTTTTATTATTATTTTTGTCACTTGTGTAACAAACGAATCAACTAAGTGATGCTATATGAGAGGTGAGGATACAACAATCCAGATCGATTGTTGTGTTTGCGTTAGTGGACGCACACTTATTGGGTCCCTTCTTTAGATCTGTCCATTTGTAGGGGTTGGAATTTCCAGTTTTTAGGGTTAATTATGCCCATAACTTTTGACACCTATAAATAGGTTGGGGGTGCTCTAAAGAATGTATTTATTATAGGGGCATGTTATAACTTCAATTTGTATTTTCCTTTTTTTTTTCTTTTTGATTGTGAGGGCTAGTGGTCAATGTTGTGTTTACACTGCTCTGCCGTTTTCATAGTGTCGGGCCTTATTTTTTGGTTATTATTTATGCTTTCCAATTGTTTACTGGTTCTTGTGACGTTGTTACTATTTCTATGATTTTTTGTTGGTAGTACTGATGTATTGTCTCTTTTTGTCTTCTTTAGCCGAAGGTCTACCGGAAACAGCCTCTCTACCCCCTCGGGGTTGAGGTAAGATTTGCGTACACACTACCCTCCACAAACCTCACCTGTGAGATCTTACTGGATCGTTGTTTTGTTGTTGATTGTGAGGGCCCGGGGTACGGGATTTGGGGTCGGATTTAAGTTAACTCAATAATTTAGTAATTTTTTATGTGTTAATCTATTAAATATTTATAAATATTTTATTATAAATTCAATAATTATACAAGTAACATTTGGATGTAAAAACTCAAACTTTAAATCTTAGTTATACCTTTGGTGAGAGTACAATGTGCAAAAATATTATAATGGCCTTTCATAAAAGGAAGAATTAAATTATTTCGGCCAAAATGTAAAAAGCTATGCCCGCTTAAAAGCTATGGCCAATTTTATTTGAATAGAATAAGAGGATACTGCAAAAATCTTTTGAATATTATTGAAAATTCGCTAAACAAGTTCAACATATATAGTTAAACTCTACGCAAGTTCAATAGATTGAGCTTTCAATATGGAAACACTAACAAAAATTAAAGGGAAATTAAGGTGTGTGAGAGGAGAGGGGGAATAAAATACAAGCCAAAACAAAACATATATTCAATGGCTTTCATTATGAAAACTCTAATCACCAAGAGTTGTGATGTGATAGTATGATTTCTTCAGTCTTAACTAGAGGTATGAAATGCTTCCCTTTTTAATAGATTTTATACAATACGAAGACTTTAATGTGAATACAATCAAATTTCTCTATAAGAGTTTCTTTTATAACAATATTTTATTATAATACTAGTCATATTTTCTTTGGAACCAGTTATTCATGTTATTTTATAATATATGCTCTCTATAACAGTACTTCGCTATAACAATTTGAAAATTATCTAAATAAACGAGTCAAATATAGAGAAGTTTGACTGTATGAAATACCGGATGAAAAATTTATAAAAAAGATGATGAAAACTCTTAAGGCAAAAGAGAACATAGGGTGCTCACATGGAATCATGTGAGGGTGACCCACAGTGTAAAAATGATGCCCCCCGATTTTTCCGGACAAAAGCCTCTCTGTTCTGTCGGATTTGGTTTATACCCCGACACTTCTATTCCTTCGATCGCAACTTCCTAAACGCCAAAATTTAACCCCTCTTACTTCTACTATTAATTTATCATTATACTTTTTTGTGCCATCTTTTGCAATTCATCACATATTTTTTTGTTTTCTCCTAACATATACACATAACAACAATATATATACATATTGTATACGGTCAAAATTGGGTTTGCCCTTAAATATGGCAGGCCAAGGTTCGACCCCATGCTATATCGGACCATGGTGTAAAGATAGATTCCCGAGCTCGTGACCCAAAGATCGATCAAGATCGAGTTCGGCCAAGAACGAAACCAGGAGGGATAGAGATCGAGCGGAGCTTACCGAGCCAAATAAAGGGGAGCTGATCATTTCTAAAGGGCATCATATTCACGCAATACAAAGTAATACATTGTCTTTCTCTAATTTTCATTATCTTGTTACTTTGTTCTTGTATCAACTGAATCTTCACTTGGTTCAAGGGTGATCGAATTCGAGGGACAAGGCTATTTGATTTGATTGGTTTGCATTTATTCCTTTACAGTCAATTTCAATATCAATTTACGTTTTTTCGCAGTGGTGCCCCTGGGATTTAGTCGACCCTGGAGTTATAGATTTCCCCTGTTCAAAAAGTTTGTACAAAAACCTTTTGCCCCAAGTGCGGCTCTGAAGCCAATCCCCAAGAAGTTCTGTATGCCCGAGATTCCTAAGTATAACGGGACGACTGATAAATGAACACGTCACCTCTATACGTGTGCTATCAAAGGAAATGACTTGGAAGATGACGAGATCGAATTCGTCTTGCTGAAGAAATTCGGGGAGACTCTATCGAAGGGTGCTATGATATGGTATTTCAACGACGAGGACGCAGAAGGAATCATGCAACCTCATAATGAAGCACTAGTAATCTCTGTACTTATGAATAAAATTAAAGTTAAGCGTGTGCTAATTGATCCAGGTAGCTCGCCCAACATCATTCGGTCGAGGGTCGTGGAACAACTCGGCCTGCAAGACCAGATCGTACCAGCGGCCCGAATACTGAATGGATTCAACATGCCTTGCGAAACTACTAAGGGAGAAATAACATTGCCGGTAAATGTTGTCGGTACCATCCAGGATACCAAGTTCTATGTAATCAAGAGGGACATGCGATACAACGCCCTGTTCGGGAGACCATGGATCCACAGAATGAGGGTTGTACCTTCGACCCTCTACCAGGTATTAAAATTTCCAACACCGGAGGGGATAAAGACGATTTACGGGGAACAACCCGCTGCAAAGGAGATGTTTGCGGTCGATAAAGTATATTAACACTCTCGTCGACAAAGGACTCAGGTTTCAAAGCGAAAAAGGGAGCCAAATAGCAATTATCGGTGCCAGCTTCGACCCAATCGGACAAGCAAGGGATTGACGAAGATGATGACTTCGGGGTTCCTCGATCTTTTATTTCCCCCGATGATTCCGACGCTACCAAGTCAACGATCGAAGAACTCGAGCAGGTCGTGCTAATAGAACATCTGCCCGATCGGAAGGTATACCTGGTCAAGGGGTTAACTCCCGATCTTAGGGAAAATCTTATTCAATTTCTTATAGCTAATATGTATTATTTTGCTTGGTCCCATCTCGATATGACAAGAATCCCACCGGAGATCACTACTCACAAACTAAGCTTGGACCCGAAGTTCCACCCGGTGAAACAAAAAAGGAGACCCTAGCCCGAGATCAAACATGCCTTCATCAAGGATAAGGTAACTAAGCTCCTTAAAATAGGGTCCATCCGGAAAGTAAAATACCCGGAATGGTTGGAGAACGTAGTCATGGTTCCTAAGAAAGGGAACAAAGTAAGAATGTGTGTAGATTATAAAGACCTAAATAAAGCAATGCCCCAGAGATTCTTTCCCTTTGCCTAACATCGATCGAATGATCGACGCCACGACCGGCCACGAGACTCTAAGTTTTCTCTATGCCTATTCCGGGTACAACCAAATACGGATGAACCCGGGCGACTAAGAAAAAACCTCTTTCATCACTAAAAATGGCACGTACTGCTATAATGTAATTCCATTCGGATTGAAAAATACCGGTGCTACTTATCAACGACTAGTAAACCAAATGTTCGAAGAACAAATAGGAAAAACCATGGAAGTTTATATTGATGATATGCTAGTTAAGTCCCTGCGAGTAGAGGGCCATTTAAAGCATTTGCAGGAAACCTTCAGTATACTAAAGAAGTACAACATGAAGCTGAATCTAGAAAAACGTGCATTCAGGGTCGGGTCCGGCAAGTTTCTCGGATTTATGGTGTCGA